TTCTGTGAGCATGGCACCCCCTGGAGTTGGGCGGTGCAGCAGCCCCCGGGGCGGGAATGAGGATTAAATGACAGAGCACGTGGGAAAATCCCACACATATCAGGGATCAGTATTTTTAGAACACCTGATCAGGCTTCTCCTATGATGAAAAGCAATACCAGAAACTAGCCAGCCCACGACACTAACCTGAGAAATAGCAAGAGTTTCCATTTATTGAAAGCTTGCTATGGACAAGGCACGTAAGGCATCTCTTTGTTTATATAATCTTTTTTTTTTAAGTTTTTTTGTTTTTGTTTTCATTTTTTTCAGAGAGAGACAGAGAGAGTGGGAGAGAGTGAGTGGGGAGAGGGGCAGCAGGAGAGAATTTCAAGCAGACTCTCTGCTGAGCATGATGTGGGTCTTGATTCCCAACCCATGAGATCATGACCTGAGTTGAAACCAAGAGTCAGACACTCAATCGACTGAGCCACCCAAGCACCCCTATGTAATCTTTACATAGCCCTCCAAAGTAGCTTTACTTGTTATCCTCATTTTATAGACAAACACATACCTAGAAGGGTATCCTGGCACATGGGAGGCTTGTGAAAACTAACATGTATTGAACTCTTACTATGAGTATGGCACTGGGATAAGTACTTCATATATATTAACTCATTTGATCCTTCCAACACCCCCATTTTACAGATGAGAAAACTGAGGTTAATCATATTACATGCTCAAAAAAGACTTACTGCGATCAAAAGGAGTGCAAAAAGTAAGGATTGATTATTATAGACATAACTGGGTCTGTGGATCTGGAAATTGTTGAAGGATGGTTATCAGAGAGCTTATGTCACTTGCCCAGGCCACATAAGGACAGATTCAAGGTTAGAGCTCAATGCCAAAGCTTGATCGCTGTCCACGTGACTTACAGGCTCTTTCCAAGATGCCCTGAACGGACAGAGTTTTTCAGCGAGGTGAGTGGGGTTGCAGTTCGCCTGCCCTCAGGGCATCGCGTGTCACACCCTCCTCCACTCTGTGCTACTACCTGGGCCGTGGGCATGGAGAAGGCGCACCCCATTTGCCCATCCCCACAAGACAGTGCTGCCCACAGGTGGATGGTGCCCATCCCTGGAATGATGACCACAGACACCCCCAGAAGGGCACGCATATAGCTGGTCCTGCTTCCTGCCACTGGTGTCTGGAAGCAACACAGCCTACACCATCCACAGGCCCCTCCGCCTGGTCACTCCATTCACCAGAAACAAAATAATCCATCCCTGGCTCCTGTGAAAAGCGTCAAATATGCCCTGAGACGCAAGGCCTTGCCAAAGTTCTGTTTCTAATATTTAGCGCTGCACTCTCTCCAGAGCCTTGCCGAGAGTGCCGGGCCTTCTGGCAAACCACAGGATTCACTCAGAGCCCATGCTTGTCCTCCCCTCAAACTCCAGATTATTTCCACGGTTCCCAGCAGTCCTGCGGTTGCCTGAAGAGGTGCCCCAGAGCTTGCTTGGAGACCATGTGAGCTCCCTTCTGTAGAGCAGGTGACGGTCGCGCCTGAGCTGTTGCCAGGACTCCCATCTTCACAGCTCGGGGTGGGGGGCATCTCCCTTGGCCTTGTAACAGCTCTCAGAGACCCACTTGGCCTTTCAAAGTCCTAGGAGCCTCATCAAGTTTATCCCAGTCACGCTCCTCGTCCCCGTTCATCTCTTCTTCCACCTTCTCTCACTGTGAAGCAAGAGCACAGATCTATCTACCCACAAAACCTAGAAAATGCTGGAGCAAGACAGCTGGAGGGCGAAGAATCTTAACAAAATTCTCTTCGGAATCCCTGCTCCCCTGGCTTTTCCTCTTGCTTTCCCCTCTCCTACCTGAAGAGGGCCGCGAAGAGTCAAGAACACAGAATTTCAAGGCTGGAAGAGCCTCGGGGATCATCTTGTTAGTAATGGTACATCTTCTAACCATGGCAGCCAGTTCTTACCCAGCGCTTCCTCTGTGCCATCCACTGTCCCTCGTGCTTTACGAAGGCCATTCATCTCCACAGCAGCGCTGTGAGGCGGGTGCTGTTATGACCATCTGGAGGAAACCAGGACCCCAAGAAGCTAAGCAACTTGCCCAGGGTCATTTGCACCACGAGGAAGGGGCGGAGCCCCAGCATGCATGGCCTGAATCATCAGGCTAGATGCTCTAAGGGTCCCTGAAGCCAAAGAAAGGAAGTCAGTCGCCCTGGAGTCACCAGCTATGGAGCAGAGCAGAAAGCTCTCCTGTCTCCTGACGTTGAGGAATGTGTGAGGGCCGTGGTCCCAAAGAGCGGGAGTTTCAGTAAGAATCCCTTTCACTGGTGGAGTCCCTACTGCGTGCCAGGCACTTGTTCCTTACAAAAGCTTTGAAACGGGCGCCACGGACATTCCCATTGGGCAGATGAGGAAAACCCAACTTCCAAAAGTAGTTCAGGCAGCCTCTCAGGCCATACTGTAGGTTGGTTGTTAAGGATGGTTATGTTTTACAAAGAGAAGCGTAAATACACTACACGTGCTAATTACATTTTCTCCAAGATAGCTATAAAAGAGCCGCTGTCTATGGCATGCCTGTAATTATTCTTCGATTCTCACAACAGGCCCTGGGGGTAAATATTATCCAGTGTTCAGATGAGGAAACTAAGGCTTGTAAATATTGAATATATTATCCAAGGGGTTAGGAAGCAGCAGAGTGAAGATTCAAATCTAAATATGATTCTGAAGTCTAAGCTCTTTAACCACCTTTCTTCAAGGACGCGCGCACGTACGCGCGCGCGCGCACACACACACACACACACACACACATACACACACACACACACGCTGTTTCCGGTGCTCAAATTCTATGGACTGGGGGAGGGAAAAGACCCGTCCCTCCGGAAGGCATGGCTGTGTTCTGCCCTCAGGTGACAGACTTCAGTCCCTACAAAACTGCAGCCACGAGAATGCCATTTGCAGGCCTCCCTGTCCCCAAATGTCTCTCCTATCTGCGTTGGAAAACAGCCAGCCCCCAAGCCATTGCCCTAGTGATATTTTCAGTTTGATTTGTACCCCCTGAATTCACTGAGGCATGATTACTTCTCACAGCCACTGGAGGCCCCAATCTTGACCCCTGGATTTTCCTACTCTCCCGACTTCAAAGGAAAGAGAGAGGACATGATGGAAGTGTTGAACCTGTTTGTGAGCAGGTCTAGAGAAATTCTGAGTGCAGAGTGGAAATTCTCCAAGTCAGGCGAGGTGGGGGAGCAAAGCTTCACCAGGGCTTCCGGGGAGAGGAGGGTGAGTGCGGGGAGGGGCCGCAGGGGTGAAATCCCTCAGCAGAGCAGGCAGTGAGCCCTGCAGCCTTGGTTATCTCCTGAAAACCTTACAGGAGGGGGTTTCACTTCGAACGGGTTATGTGAGCAGCCTGTAAAAGTGCACATAAAATACATGATTTCATTTGTTGTAGGGATGCTTCTAAGGACAGTCACCCATTTAGGGACTTCTTTCTAAGATCTGTAGGAATTTCTCTTAAAAACTAGTGTGAGATGTGAAAACTGGTGAAGTTCCAGTAAAGTCTGTATTTGAGCTAATAGTATTTGAACTATGTCAAATTCCTGATTCTGCTCATGGTGGATGGTTATATAATATATCATCACTGGGCAAAGCTGCATGAAGATAACACAGGAACTCTCTGGACTATTTTTGCAACTTCTTGCAAGTCTTTAACTATTTCAAAATAAAAGTTGTAAATTGTAAAAAAAGAAAAGTACTAGAAAGAGCATCACTTTCCCTAAAAATTCTAGTATATAACTTCTCTGATGGTGACAATTCTGATGCAGAATAAACCTCCATTTTCTTTGGCTACTGGGAAGCTCAAATTTCAAATTCATTCTGGAAACTCCAAGGCCCTTATGGCCTATATATCTATGTTCTTTCTCTAGATATTGACTTTCTATTCTTTCTTTTTTAAGATTTATTTATTCATTTGAGAGAGCGAGCGAGAGTGAGCACTTGCATGGGGAGGGGCAGAGGGAGAGGGAGAGAATCTCAGGCAGACTCCTGATTTGAGCACAGAGCCATTGTGGGGCTCCATCTCACCACCCTGAGGTCATGACCTGAGCAGAAATCAAGAGTCGGACGCTCAGTTGACTGAGCCGCCCAGGCCCCCCTTGAGTTTCTATTACTTATATTTCCCTCCCCCTCACTTTTCATCCTTACTTTTATATTACCATTATTTTATTGTGCATATTCCTTGTGAGTGACTTCAAATCCTTTATGGAAAGAAATAGGGCATTAATATATAAGTTGATAAAATAATTGGCCCCTAGTTTATGAGATATTCATATGTTTGGGATTTTTTTTTAATCTAGGATTTCTGTTTTACTGTTACCTTAAAGCACTTACCTTGTATCACTCCTCCACCCCCTGGCATAAGATTCTTGCCTGGAGTCACACGCAGGAGTCTTGCACATTGAGAGTCTCAGCCTTGGGTAGGACTGTACTAGGCAGAGAGATGCTCAGCTGAGGACCAGCGTGGCATTTCCCTCCAGCTGGGCCAGTCTTAGTCTGGTGGTCAGTCTGCAGGCAGTTCTACCTTCACAATTGCCTTTAGGTGTTGGAAGTTTGAGGTCCTTGAGCCAACCCCTACTCAAATGCCAATCCTCCTCCAGGGAGGGACATTTAGAGGCTACCTAGAAAAAAAAAAGCGCCTTTTGTGAACAATTGTGAGCCACACACTGCTCCGACCATCCTGTTGTTATTATAATTCTTTCCACTGTGGTCTCACTCACAACTTTCAGCAGATGAAATGCAAAGCAAATAGGGAGCATACTATTCATCTGCAAAGGAAGGAGGGAACCAGGCAGGCTCCTGACAGGGGTGGTACCTCCCACCCCTACCTCTCCAGCCACAAACCAGCGGAGGGGAAAGGGCAGGGTAGCCTGGAAGCTCTGCCACTTACCAGCACTGTGAGCTTTGGTAAGTCTTGTCCACTCTCTGAGCCTCAGTTTCCTTATCCACAAAATGGGGTAAGTGCCCAAACCAAAGACTTATTTTAGCTTAAACAAGCAGTAATATGTGTAGAGGACTTAGCACATTATCTGGCATATTGTTGGCACTCACAAATGTTCAATCCTTGCCCTTCTTCAAGAACAATAATCATATTTAACCTTTATTATGTGCTAGGTGCTGTGCTAGATTATACAGACACAAAAATAAAGAAAATAGTGTTTCTGCCCTTAAATGAATGACAATGCGTGTTGATAGGATACTCACTATGTACCTCCTCCTATTTAAGCCTTACAACAGCTCTATGAGGTTGGTAATGTCATTCACTCCCATTTTACAGGTTAGAACAGTTGTTTGCTGGGAATAGTGGCAATATCTCTCAACTGCTATGAGAGAGGCATGGATTAAACATTGCTCCTGGGATTTGAGGATTGGGAGACAGTAGACAGCAGTACTGCGAGGGTGTGAGGGGTTCTCTTTCCTTGGAAATTTCAAGCAAACCCGGGGTGGGGGGCGCGGGGAGGCTATCTGGTTAAAGCAGCCCTGGCCAGGGCCTAGGGAGTGTGTTAGAGGATGTCCAATGCTCCTTTTGGTCTTCTCTTCCCATGGCTCCCTGGTTCTCTTCCCTGCAGGTGTCTACAGCAGAACCCCGGGGACAGCCTGCCCACAGCCAGCGTCATCCTCTGTTTCCACGACGAGGTCTGGTCCACCCTCCTGAGGACTGTGCACAGCATCCTTGACACAGTGCCCAGGGCCTTTCTGAAGGAGATCATCTTGGTGGATGACCTCAGCCAGCAAGGTGGCTATGGGCTCCTCCCGCTTCTCGGGTGGGCCTAGACCCTGGGGGGTTCCCATGCAAAGACTAGGGTTTAGAGCCTGTAGAGGAAAGGTTCCCAGAAGCATACCTCCAGATGAGGATTCAGGTGCAGGTAACTCATTAGTGAAGAGCCCCAGGGGCACCTGGTAAGGAAGTGGGGGGAGAAGACATAGAAGGCAAAGCAGCCAAACAAGGCAAGGGGGTCCCAGCGAGGATCTCAGGAGGGTCGCTCCAACCTGATCCCAGCGGGATCTCTCCCAGTCTCAACCTCCACACAGTCCAATATGCTTCTTCCCAAGACACTCAAGAATCACAGCAGGGTGACCATTCCTTATCGCTCACTGCCTCCTAGACACTGGGTAAACCACTTGACATGTATTAGTCACTAAATCATTCCTGTTTATCCTGATCCATTCATTTTCCAGACGGAGGAAGCTGAGGCCTAGAGAAGAGAATTGACCAGGACTGAGTCATGCCAAGGGCAGCAGAGTCAGGCCCAGAGCCCAGACTTGCAGAATCTGCTCAAATGTTTCTACTGACAGGAAACTCACTGCTAGGGACCAGCCCCTTGCCTGGCTGAGTTGTTAAAAGAAGATGGAGACATAAGAAAGTTCTAGGTCAGTGGTTCTCAAGCTTGAATGTACATCAGAATTGTCTGGCAGGCTTATTAAAACACTGATTGCTAGGATCTCCCCCAGAGTTTCTGGATCTGGTACTGGGCCCCCATGAATTTGCATTTCTAACAGGGTCTCAGGTGATACGGATGATGCTGGTCCGTGGACGACACTTTGAGAACCACTGCTCTTCTTCGGCTGGGGCCTCAGGCTTTATTTCTGGCTCAACCAAATGGCCTGTGGAGCCCCGCCCCCTGCCGCCGGGCCCTGTGGGGAGAACAGACTGCTCCAAGGGAAACTGAACACTTGCTGAGGTCTGAAAAACACCTTTCTAAGGGGGATGACAGAAGACAGGCTCGAGTAGCCACTGGCCTCTGCTAGTTCTTCTGAAGGGCCTCATGTTGGGAATTTGCCCAGCCTGGGCATGGAAGTGAATCAGACTATCCAGAGGCCCCAGAAGCGTGTGAGGTTACTGAGGTACAGACAGCTGCGTGTTAGGCTGGACAGGCAAGCAGTTCCTGGACTGGGCTGTGTTGGCTGGTGGAAGTACCCACAGACTCTCTGAACTCTCGGCTGTGCCGGGGTCCTCCCAAGAGCACATCTGTGGTTCCTCCCCCGTCAGACTATGAACTGTGTTATGTCAGTGTCCCTTGGTAGCCTTCCCTTCTCCTTGTGTGTGTAGAAGCCCAGGAGCTGGGCCCCAGGGCAGTGGGGTCCTCCAATGTCCTCAGCATCTTCTGTTTTTTAATACTCTCAACCCTTTAAAAAAAAAAAGATTTTATTTATTTACTTGAGAGGGAGAGACAGAAAAAGCAAGAACAGGGACGAGGGGGAGAGGGAGAGGGAGAAGCAGACTCCCTACTTAGCAGGGATCCTGAAATGGGGCTGACCCTGAGAGCATGACCTGAGCAGAGGCTTAACCGACTGAGCCACCTTGGCGCCCCGTCCTCAGCATCTTCTGCTTTCCACTTAGCCCGACTTGGAGTGTGGCTTTTGGCCTCCTAATCCAATGAGGCTACTCTACCTCTGCACATCACATCACATTCCAAGCAGAAAAGGGTGAAATGCCGAGGTCAGCCAAGTTTGTCCTTTAGAAAAAAATCCGTAAAACAACAGTTTTTTCCAGAATCTTCTCACCTAGTGTATTTCCACCAGAGTTAGATTAAAAGGCTATTACTAACAGCAAGGGAGTCTTGGTAGGTTAGTGCTTTTAGCTGCCCTGAACAAAATCAAGTTTCTGCTAGTAAGGTAGAAGAGGAGAATGAACGTTGGACAAGACAACTAGCAGTTCTCAGTACAGTGGAGTCACCGAGGGGCTGGTTCTCACACATCCAAGTTCAGAAATTTTAATTTGCTAACAGAGGTCCTTCTCTAGGCAATGGACTTGGGACTAACAAACTTATCAGAAAAATAATTATAAAGTAATCGACATAATGTTTTACCACCAAGAAATTCAACAGCCAATGACTGGGAATCCTTATGTCCACTGCTCAGGACAGTTTCCTCTGCAGAAAAGTCTCCCTGAGGAGCCACATGCTGCTCAGAAGGCAGCTCTCCAGGGAGTCTGCTGGGGCCTTCAGGTACGGCTGCCTGAGCCTTCCTGAACTCCCTAGAGACTCAGCTACCAAAATAGCAAGACTATGTGTATTCCCATCAAGACTGCCTCTGGGCTGGAGAACCAGGGAAATTCTTGCTCTTCAGCACAGTTCTGTTCAACACACATGTACTGAGTGCCTACCATGGGCCAGCCCTGTGCTAGGGATCAGAGCAGTGGAAATGCATGAGGTATAATCCCTGCCCTTGAGATCTTAGTTCAGTGGACTAGGGGCACCCCATTTCCAAGACTTCATGAAGGACACTACTTCTCCATGAATGCATTATTCCTTCTTCCTTTTGTCTCCACTAGCTTGTTCATCTTGATGTATGCATGTGTGTGTGTGTGTGTGTGCACCCACATGTGTGTGTTTAAGATAAGAAAGCTCTTAAACACAAAACCTAATAAGCTTCTCCCTTTACCCCCTCTAGAGTCATTGTTCCTCAAAGAACATCTAGGCTCTTGGTCTTGGATTTTCAAGTCCCACTTTCTCTCCAACCCACTGCATTGCTATCCACCCCTACCGTTACAATGAAACCCTTTGGCCCACACCACCAATGATCTACCAGTGGCCACATTTAATGGACCTCTGTCTTTGACCTCCTTGACCACTGCCTTAGGTCAGATTTCTTTAGCGGAGCCTGAGATGGGATTCATGTGCTTGTGATTTTTAGGGGGTGTACTCTCAGGGGAAGCCTATAGGAGAGTAGGGGAAGCAGGAGAGGCAGAGGAAGGAACTGAGCCAAGATGAGGTTTCGGATGAAGTCCAGCCACAGCCTGATCCCATGGACAGTTCTGCAGTGCCAACTGCATCTCAGAATCTGTCCTGCCTTGAGGCGAGGGAGTGGGCTTTGATAGCCCTGCACGGGTTGGTCATTGACCCTGGGCACCTGGGGCCAGGGGCAGCATTCTGCAGGACTCTCTGGCACTCACAGGAGAAGCAGTTCTATACCCAAGGGCATGTCCCCGGAGAAGGGTGCAGACTAGTTAGCAACAAACCTACAGCTGCTGGGCACGTACAAACCAAACCAAACCTAAGAAGGGACCCTAGGTCATCTGAGTCGGGCACCAACAGAATCTGCATAACCCACTGCTACATTTAGAGAAGATTAGCCATTCCTCTCCTCTCCGGGTTTATGACACCATCTCTCCTGGCTTTTACTGGAGGGAATACCGACCCACCCCAAACTAATGAAGCAACTTAGCAACAGCCATAGTGTGATGTATCTGAGTCTCAGGACCCTGGTGCTCACCACAGCTCCCAAGAGAGAATCGCTGACAATGATCCTAGTGATGGTCATCACGCTCTCATTGGCTGTGGCATCTGTGACCCCACTGACCACAACTCTGTTGATTCCAGGACAACTCAAGTCTTCTCTCAGCGAATACGTGGCCAGGCTGGAGGGAGTGAAGTTGCTCAGGAGCAACAAGAGGCTGGGTGCCATCAGGGCCCGGATGCTGGGGGCCACCAGGGCCACCGGGGACGTGCTGGTCTTCATGGATTCCCACTGTGAGTGCCACCCGGGCTGGCTGGAGCCCCTCCTCAGCAGAATAGCTGGTGACAGGTAACTTCACCTCTGGGGAGCAGAGGTGGGGCTGGGAGAAAGAGTCTACAGCCTCCACCACTCACAGAACATCTATCCACCATTGAACAAGTCCCCGAGGCTCCCCATGAGAGAGTAACATGCTTCTTTGGTTTTTTTTTTCAGATGTTTGAGTTTGAGCCTTTTCAAAAGTATAGGGAGGTACATTGGAAGGGAAGTTAGAGGTCCTCCAGTCCATCTGCTTTGTTTTCTAAATACAGAAACAGGGGCCTAGAGAACAGCTTCTCTTAAGTTGCAAATACTCCTGGATAGGGTAACATCTTACCATGGTGTCACTCCCTTTGTTGAAAAGTCAGGAATTTTAATCAGGATTATAATATAACCTGAGAAAAAGTCTTTATATTTTGTTCGTAGGTACTTACCCCTAAACAGAATGTGTTAGACTCTGTGATTGCTAAACTTCAATCAAGAACCAGCATTGGTTTTTGGGATGAGGGGTCTCTAATGTCCTAACTAAGGCCTCAGGAATGTGAAGTCAGAGAGAATTGCATTACACACCCCTTAGCCCAACATTTAAAATTTTTTCTTTGACCATTTCTCTGTTCTTTTTCCCCATCTTGCTGTCATTCACTCCCCACTTCCTTGCTCTCCTCATACTGTTCCTAAATATGCCCTGTCAACCATTTTCCTCAATCTGAATATCCCACTAAGAAAAAGCAAAACCTGGTGGCTAGCCCACCTTGGACCACCTCAGGCATACCGCTTGGGGTTTGCAGAGGCCTAGTACACAGTAGGAGTTCAACAAATGATTGTTTCTGATGATGGCCAGCCAGATAGGGCAGATGCCCAAACCAAGCCTTATGACTTCTATCCTTGCGCTCCTCCCCATGGTATACGTTCAATGTCTCCTTTGAAGTCGGGGATGACAACATCTAAGAAAAGACCTTTCTGGATAAGGAGGCAGAGGAATTAGCATATTCCACTAGATGAAGGAGGTTTCAAGCAACATGATGTCATTCGTTAATAGTCCAGCAATTCCTTTTTAATAAAGAACAATCAGAGTTCAAGTGAAATCGGGAAGGATTAGTTTTGCCCAGTACCGTAATACAGATTACTGCCCACTCCTGGCTATTACCTCAGAAGAAAAGGAGATGTGTATAAATCCAGGACCAGGACGAGGACAAGTAAACATGCAAACCTAACAAACTCTGCCATCTTGGATCTTGCCCTCAACATCATAATGACCGTGTATCATTGCAGTGGGAACTAAAGTTGGTCCAGCCTATTCCCCATCTAATTCCCATCCCCGTGTCACAGACAGATAGCTTTCAGAGGGACCTGTAAGATCATCTAGTCCTATCTCACGATTTCACTGCTGAAAGAAACTGAGTTCCAGGGAGGCCAAGGAGACCCCTCAGGGTCACACAGCCACTCAAAGAGCTAGACTGTTTTCCATGCTTCTTGTATGCAGACATTTAGGAACCCAGAAATTAATATCATTAAGTCTTATGTATGTATAACCCGAATAGACTGTTCTCATATAATTCTTTACTGACGCCCCCCCATGAGATGTCTCAGGCAAGTACTTCTGCTTCCATTTTACAGAGAGGGATAGTGGAGCTCCTTGGGGTGAAATGATCTGCGAGGGTGCATGGAGACTTTGCCGCTGAGTCAGGTGTTCTAACTCTGGGCCTACTGCTCTTTTTGCTGTCTATGAATTATTTTAAGAATTGGAGATGCTGATCAGGGAATGAGATTTATTCATCCCCCTCCCCACCCTGGTTGTGAGACATGTGTTAAAACATTGATTAGAACGAACCCCTCATGTCTGCTGCTCACATTGGTGCCATTTTCACAGATCTGGAGATTTCTCACTCTAGGCTGAGAGAGGAAGACTTGGCAATACCTCAGTGTCCTCAGCTATAAATAATATGGGGCTCCCTGAGAGACTTTCCGCAGTTAAGAAGGTGGGTCCGTGAAATTTTCATTTCCTGGGCTCTTTCTTTCCTCTCGTTATCCAACTTTTCCCCTCCCCTTCTTCTTCCCTTTCAGTCTCCCTCCCTCTCTCCCCTCCCTCCCTCTCTCCCTTTCCTGCCCCCCTGCACACACACACACACACACACACACACACACACACATGGGCACACACATGGCCTCTGGTCTTAGACCCCATTCTGGCTTGGCTTCCTCTTCATGTCCCCTCTCTTCTATGGTTTAGCCATCTTTTTGTCATCCCACACCTCATTCACAGCTTCCTGTGTACCCTGTTTTCTTTGGGACCGATGTTCAGCTTGCAGGCCTTCACAGGTGAGGGTCTGAAAGAAAAGCTAGCTCTCATGGGTCTGAGTTCTCATCTCTCTCCACTGCACACAGAGATGCTCTGAAAGGTGTGGCCTGGGAGAGTGGCCCTTTTAAGGTCTGCTTTGCTCCTATAGCAATTTTGCTCGAGCGTTTCCTCTGGCCTCCCATGGCAGCTCACCTTGTGTGAAGCAAAGCTGTAGAAGCCATTGGGCACAGTTTCTAATAGCTACTGCTCTTCAAGAGAGGAAAGGAGTCCCAGCTGCCTCTGAGGCTCATGACAGGAGACATTCTGTCACCAGGTGAGGATCCATTGTGCAGGAGGCAGGAAAAGGTCTTTAAGGCCTTTCATTAAAAAGGTGGAATGGGATGATGAGTAACAGTGTAACAAGCCATAAATCAACTATTTCAAAGAGTCATAACTTCCTCAACACCCCGATCAGAGGGTTCAAGGCCTGGTTCCTAGCCCTGGTCCCCCACCCTGCCCACAGAACAGGTCTATAGAGAGTCATATGGCAACTTTGTATGAATTGGTAAAAGGAGTCCCTTCTTCATTATCCTTTACTCTCATTTCTCAGAACATGTGTCATAACACGTTCATTTTTTAGAACAAGTTACTTTAATGCTAACTGCCAGAAATTTTAGAATGAAGTATGCAAATTTATAATGCCTATGATATTTGAAGCATTCTCTAAGTTTGGGCAGTGCACAACCCACATAACTGTACATAGCAGCCCCAGACAGAGCTGCTCAAAGAGCAGTTTTTAGAGCAGTGTTAGAGGTGCTGGTTGGTAGTTGGTTTCCGTGTAAAGTAACACAGATGAAGATCAAGGGTAGCTGTTACTCCAGCTGCCAGCTGACAACGGCCTTGTGCTAACTGTCAGCTCTAATACCCAAGCCAAGGAGTGAGAGTTATGGCCCTAGAGAAATTAAGGTTTCCAATGGGAAAGGGGCAGTCTTCAGTGAAGTGCTGAAAGACAACACCCACTGAGGGGCGATGCTGGCTCCAGAGGCTGTCCAAGCTGTTTTCCCCTTGAATTTGGTCTGGTCCTCTATCTTAGAGACACCTAGTTCATAAGGTCATGTAGTGCTCAGCTAGGGCTGAGCCTGCTCCATGGGGAGAAGCAAGGTGGGACAGGGAACAGACCACCTCCCATCACCCTGCCCTGCAAGGGGTTAAATGATGAAAAGCAGTCTGAGGAATCCCATGTGAAAGTGTGAGTGTGCGTGCGTGTGTGTGTGTGTGTGTGTGAGAATATGTGTGTGTGTGTGAGAGAGTGTATGAAAAAGAGAGAGAGAGAGAGAGTGTGTGTGTGTGTGTGTGTGTGTGTGTGTGGTGAGGAGCAGCAGGGGGACCAAGATGACCCCAGCCCACAAAGGGAGCAGGCTTCTTTTGGTCTCAAGCCCCAGGGAAACTCTCCAGCCTTCTTCCTACCACACACCCCTCAGCATGACAGAGTGGTGAAACGGCCAACACAAGTCTTAGGGTCACACTTGAGAAGCAAGAGCTCTGGGATTAGAGAATTCAGAGACTTTTGCTTCTCAATATAAGATACTGTCCACAACACCAAGAATTTGAGTGAACTTTCAAAATGACTTTAGACATCACAGACCCGGAGGAACATGGAGGTGCAGGAATAATAAAGAGGGATGAGGTAAGCCAGGGCTTGTAAGTAACCTAAGTTTGGTTGGTAAGGTTGAAGCCGCAGTTAGATTTTGACTACTTGGACAGTAGTTTATTAGTTGACCTCACGTTCAGTGGTCAACCAGTCTTTTTTGACAGCTCTACTACCTCTGTTTGTCTTTTGAAACCCAACTGCCTGACCCCCTGGAGCTTAGAAAGGCTTAAGAGAGAATCAACCTTGTACTTGCCTGAGAGTTAAAACTCAATTTGCAAGAGAGAATGATGGTGTAAGCAGACACTTCTAGCTCCTTCCAAGTCAAACAGGGCAGCGTTGCTATTTTGCTTTAAATGTATTCCAAGAACACCAGACACATCTGTAGGTACAAAACCCAAAGTTAAATATAAGACTGTCTGGGTTTTTTAAATCACCATTTTTGAGTCACTAGACTGCAGTTACTCCCTAATTCAGCCGTGGCTAAGCAGCTGCTATCCTCTTCATCTCTATCCAAAAGGCACTCAGAGTGTCTTGTGATTCATCACTTAGGTGTCTGGTTAAAATGGAAGGAAAAGGAGATCTCAGAAAGGAAAAGAAGCATTGGATATTTGGGGTGATACAGTTATTAACCATGAGTTTTGCATAGGACTCTGAGCTTCCAGCAAGACAGAGCAAATAGAGAGACTTGATAAATTCTAGAGTTCCCATTTTCTGGTCCAAAGTAATGCACAGCCTTGTCAGGCAGGACAAGCTCAAAGATCTAGGAGAAGCTAGTTGTATGGATGCTCAGATGCAATTTCCTTTCTTGTCCTGTTATGATTACTAAGATGGCACGAATTTGATGGGATTCTTCAGGATTCAGCCACACGGCTTCCCTGGCTCTTGACTCTGAAATTCCACAAAATGCTTTGCCCATAGCCAAATCCATCCCATCTGCTCAGTTCACTCCACAGGAAGTGGAGACTTGGGAGGGGGGCTGGGTGTCCTCCTTTCTTTCTTGATCTTGCCTCTCAGTTTTCTTAGGTCAATTCAGGATGCCAGAAGCAGTGGGGACCCAGAGGGATTAAGTTTACTTTACCTTCCAGAGGGAACAATGTGAAAAGGGCAA